TCCAAATATCCGAATGTTCAGGGACAGGTCATCCACCGTATTCTTTTCAGCATTTAAGACTATAGGCCCCGAATAGTCAGGAAGTTGACCTCGTGGTTTGGTGTAACCGAGAAAAATTTCCATATTCAAAATTTCATTGTTATAAAATAAATAAAAAATAGTAAAAGTGATAAAAAAATATTAAAGTATTTGAAAACACTTAAAAATCTCAACTCACATTCGAATTAGGTTTAGGTATTGCCACATTTTCTTAAGTAAATCATCGAAATTTCATTTTTGTTGTGCAGATATTGGCACACAATGCGGGATTCGATAGATTATGTCTAGCTCTTCGATTGAGATTTGATCAATCTGCAATGTAAATATGTTTACTTCTCATTTAAAAAATGCTTTATAGATTGCTAAATTAGCTGTGATATTTGCGCGAATTTCCCAGTAACTATTTTGTTAAGTAGAGACATCTCAAAAAGGTAAGGTAGATATACCTTGTTCAGGAAATAAATACAAGGAATATATACTCGATTGCCCTCGATAACATCAATAAGAAATAAGACAAATAAGCATACATAGTTCTGTTTAGGAATTTTGCAAGCAGCAGTCGCTCTTACCTCAGAGTGATATCGGCATTGTAAATTTTATATTCCGATAGAATGCTCTTTACAGCTTCCAGATCGAGTTCATTTTGAGTGGCCTGCAAGGATAAGATTTTGACATTTTCGTTTCAAGCTTACAATGGAAGAACAATAGTGGTAAAATAGGATGAGCGCATTCACCATGCGAAAGTGTCATTGCAAAACAAAGATTAGATCCAAAAGTTGACTGAGGCCACATGGCCAAGTGTGCCACCTATACTTCAAAAAGTTGCGCAGTTTTTGTACATAAGACTCATCCAACTTTCATTTCGCAGCTATTCTTCCATTTTCATTGATGTGTATGATCAAGAAATATATCTCTTGTTCTAGAGACATTCTTTACTAAAATCACACGGCCCCTGACTTCAAGAAATTAAATTC